GGGGGGGGGGGGGATTACCCTCTCAGCTCCGGGTGCTGACAGCAGTACAGGGTGTGGAAGTTGGCCCCTGTCCTTAATGGATGACTAACAGAGTCCCCAATCTGTGCTCGCAGAGGAAGAGTTTCAGCTAGCTGCTGCTGTCTGGTTGGCTGCTGAGCCTGATGGGGTCATTGTCACCCGATGATGACCTGATATGGTGCGATCAAGTGGTCACAGTCACCTCCTCTAGAACGGGAGGATGCACACATTGCCGCTCTTTTGTCCACCTAACTTCTCTATGGTTGTACATTTACTGTTTGAAAAACGGTGACTTTATTGCACGTTATGTAGCATTGTTATGGCTCTGTGAAGCTGCGCTGCTATCAGTGTTTATAGCAAGATTAGTTAACTGTCACTAGCTGATAGGGCAGTCCAAAGAGGTTAACACCATAAAACTAGATACACTAGGAGGAGGAGGAGCAGGAGAAACAAATTTTGACAAATACCAATATCCATTTATTAAATTAAGAAACCTCGAGGAGTACCTCCATAAGGCCTCAGTGAAATGGTGCTTTTATGTGGTTCCAAGTTTACAACATAATCAAGTTAACACGCAGTCTTTGTTACTGAATTTGTCTGGGTACCTCAGCGTTGTATAAGAGTTTGTTTTGACCTTTCCAGTCCCATGTTGTATTGTGTTTTATCTTCCCAGATCAGATTAGACTTTATGTAAGCCACACTAACAACCACTGCTTGATGTAGTTGATGCTGTGGCCTGACCTTGGCTTGTGTTTTATGTCAGTGTGTACATGGATGCTTAACGGTTAATCAGAGTGTGTTTGTCTGTTTTCGAGTGTTCAGGGTAACAGATAAAGATCCTAAGAGTTGCTGGTGTCTTGGCTTTTGCTCCGCTTTAAACCAACATAGAGGAGTGTTTTTATAAGACACACTCCACCCATTCACGTCTTGTCTGTGTATTTTGGTTGTAAAGTGAACAGTGAGTGTGTGTTATATCCACTATATATATATGTCTTGTCTCATCATTATGTCTGTTTTTCTATTTGCCCAAATTAGAAGAATATGTATCCTCCATCCTCGTGCTTCTGTGGTTACGTAGTTGTGCTTTGAATTGTTGTGTTTTTATTACCTCGCAGTGACCCGTTTTCATTGCCTGCTGTGGAGTCCGCCGCAGGACTTTTGTTTTTATTGCGAGTTTCCCAGCCACCGTAGTTTCTCCTACACCTGTTTTCATTCCCAGGTCGTCAAATACAGACGTGAGCAGTGTTGAGTTAACCACACTCAATACTACACACTGGTCCTTCAAGGTGGAAGAAATTAAAGTTTTCTAGACGTACTTGGACTAAAATCAAGCAGTTGCCTGATAGTCCAACATCTGCACTGTGGTTTGTGTTAAATAAAAATGAAGGAGCACGCATTGCTATATATATTATATATTATATAAAAGTTATTCATAGTTGCCTTTATTTACTTTATTTTAGCCGTTTTCCTGAACCAAAGCCATTGAGCTGCAGTGATAGTTGTTTACCAATCCAGTGGATTAATATATTGACCACAATGAAAGTGCAGCTAGACGCTGATACACACCTTGTTACACCCTGTAATCTCACATATTATCTGCGAGTGTTTCTGTGGCTTTGTTTTCTACTGTGTCCTGTTGACATAAGTGTTTTCACTCCCAGCACGCTGACTTTGTTTGCGTTGCTAAATGCGGTGCTTTCACTGTCGTCATTGTAGTCTACCAACGTTGTTCGTCATCACTGTCATTATAACCTAAAAACATGGGAAGACTTTGATTTCACCTGTGACTAGTTGGGGCGTGTGTGTGTGAGTCAGAGGCTTGAATCACTGATTTTATTGTTCAGCTGAAGAATTTACAGTAAACTATATATTTTTTGCCCAGTTAGCAATGGGGGCCTGAGGGTGGTCCAGAAGATATTTATAAAAAAACATTAAAGGCCTTGAGAAACATTTCAGGCCAGTGTTTCTCAAACTTTTGTGTTTTAATATAACACGCTTAGTATCTTGTCGTCACATTTTAGCTCGTAACTAATCCTTCATGTATGTGTTCATTACGCTCATGAAAAAAAGGAAAGGCAAAACTTATTTTGAATTGCATTTCAGCAATCTCATAGTTAAATAATTTATGTTCACATTTTTGTAGGATTTTATGTTTTTAAATGAATTACACCACTAGAGGCAGTTTGTGTACCACCAGTTTAGTAGTAGTAGTAGTTTGAGAACCGGTGCTTTAGGTCATGACAGGTTATCTTGAAACTAATGGCCAGACTTTCATGTAATTTGCTGTGAACCTGTGTTGAGTCCTCGCTACAGTGAGCAGTGCCCCTTATAGTGCACTTAACAAGAAATGCTGCCAAGACTAACAAGCAATTACAACTATGTGAACTTGTTTACAGAGTTTTTACAGGAAGCGAAACGTGTCCAGTAGAGAAAACCTTTTGAACTCTGAACCTTTTTAAGTCCATTACAGTGGATACATAATGTAAGGGCCAGTTAGTGTACTGATGACTAACCTACCACATGACTGTTTGCTGCCTTAGAAACGACATCCTGTGACTTCCATATAAAACACACATATTCACAGACACAAGATGCTGCTCCACCCAAGCCGTGACCGATGGTAAAGGTCAATCTCTCACACCACCGTGTATCCCATGACCCGAACTAACTAACTACTTTAGCCTGCTCTCTACTTGTAGTGCTCTTTCACCATCTCCCCTCCACTACCACCATCCACTCTTGATTTATAAACACTGCAGCCTTTGGTGGTTACATGGCTGAAACTCGAGTACAATCTGTGTGAACAGTGAGTCCTCCTGCTACACTCTGAGTGTGCTCTGAGTGTGAATGAAGTGGGTGAATGTGGTGGTGTGAGTGGGTGCCAGCTCCTGTGGAGAGTTGGCTGAACAGCCTGTTTTGGTATAAACACGTTTCTGTCATCCAAATTTATACACCTGCAACACAGCTGCTGTGGATGTGTAAGAAAGCAGCTTTTACTTTTGTCACAACGTATCAGACACTGTCTGTATTTACCTTTCCCCCTCACTGTATAAAGTCAGCAGATGGGATTTGTCCAGTTGCCGTTTTCTCTGAGCGCTTTTGAGTGATGTTGCTGCCATCTTGTGGAGGTTTTCTGTTACTTTCATAAGACTTTCATAAGCACTGCTCAGCAGAATGAGTCATGGGAGTGGTGTCCTTCCACATGGTCATTGAGTAAAATACTGTCAGCATTCAAACATCAGCACTGAAAGAGAGTGGAAACATGGAAATGAATATAATCTAAAACGTAATAATTACTTCTGAGAGTTTGCTTTCACAACTTTAACTCAAATTAAATCAGTCTCCTTGATTTAAAGACATTAAATCATTGGATTCAACACTATGTTGACATACTGACAGCTGATATTACTCTCATTTGTCACTGAACTCTTTTGTCAAAGTAGCATCTACCATAATATTTCAAAACCAGAGGATAGGCATGTCTTAAAACTGTTGGAAGATTCATATTGGTCAGTTTCAAACTAAAAGATCTATGCATCCCTGCATTTTATTGTGGTATCTGTAATAGCGTAACTACTCCACTACCTTTGGGAACTAAGATCAGTCATCATTAATCGTGCTGCACACTGCATGTTGAAAACGCCGCATCCACTGTAACGTTCCTCCTCTTTGTCTCCTCTCCTCTTCCTCCTCTGTAGGTGATCACCTGTTTCGGCCTGTCTGTGCTGTCTTGCCGCTACGTGGGCTTCGCCGTGGTGGCCCTCATGGTGGAGATTAACTCCGTGTTCCTCCATCTCAGGCAAATGCTGCGTATGGCCAACATTGCCAAAGGCACGCTGTACCGGGTCAACAGCATTATCAACCTCGGCACATACGTGGTGTTCCGCATCAACACGCTGGCCTGGATGACCCGCTGGCTGGTGCTCAACAGGGACAACGTGCCCCTCCTGGCCTACACACTGGGCAGCGTGGGTTTGGCCATCATGACGGCCATGAACATCGTCCTGTTTTATCGGCTACTCAGGAGCGACTTTTTGAAGAGCAGCAAGACCAAGAAAGAGAAAGAGATGTAGAGAGGAGAGGAGGAAGGGACCCGAGGGATTGGATTCACAAGCACACTCGTTACTGTACGTTTACACCCTGTGGCTGAGATTTGGTACCGTTTTGCTTGTGTGTGGTCATACTGTACAGGTATACGTGCATACAAGGTGTAATCAAATGGCCTCACTTCAAACACAGATTACTCACAGCCGTTATGCTAAAAGCTACCTTTAGTTGTAGTTTTACCTTCAGGCTGTGTTCCAGTCATTCCTAAGTGCCATTAGTGCCTCACTAATGGCAGATGAAGGATTTTTCATCCGAACAATTTAACGCCTTTTTCCCCCACAGGGTGTTTCACCTAAATCTGTTGTGAAATGTAGCCTATGTCAAGTGAAGACGCACCTGCCAACGCTCATGTATATTTACATCGAAAACATAGGAATCAAGTACAAAATATCTTTAGTTATATCACAAGAATAACCTTTCTGTTTATACATTTTATATACATATTATACTGTTGTGGGTTATATAAAATAATGTTTATTTACCACTGAGTAAAAATATCTGTGGAATCCAAACCCTCTTGTTGTTTAACACGAGCATTGCAGAGGTGAATATATCTTCTTTTTTTTTCTTTCCACCAAATCTCCTCAACTAAAAACCGCCTGCTACCTCAGAAAGCTCGTAACAGTTCTTTGCCTCTTTCTAACACAAGCTTTGCTGTCAGTGTTGGGCAGGTTCTTTGTTATTAAGGAAGGAACACGTACAGAAAATAAATATATTTACACAATAAATTTGTCTGTAGAGGAAGGATATCTAGAAAATACCAATCCTGACTGAGGGAGAGAATAGGGGTAAGATGGTAATGAATAAATACTTTAAAGTGGTATTTAAATAAAACTGATCCAATTACTTTTGATGAAACAGTCCTAGCAGGCCTTACATTCATTAAGATTATAACCCTAACCCACAACTCGGTTGGCTGCTGTACACTTGAAACCTGCAAAATGACAAGAAAAAAAGCAAAAACGACAGTAGATGGCAATGTTTTCATGGTTTTTATGTGTTCCTTAAGTGGTCTATTATGGTGTATAGTCTGCGGTAGGAGCTCTCAGACAGGCAGGAGTTGTTGGCCTTCGGAGGACAGCACACTCCTCAACATTACCTCAGTGATCACAACAACACACAAGAACACCAGAGATGTCTTTATTTTGTTACGTCTTTGTCCATCTTTGTGCCTCTCGCCTTCAATGTGAAGTCGGCAGTAAGCACAGACGGATGCAGAGAAACTCCTGAGGTCAGTGTTGGTCTGAGATCTGTGAATACTGCAAACACACATTTATACACACGGCTGCTACGAGGCTGCCTACCCCCCACATCATACTGTCATTATATGATATGGAAATTTTTGATGCCATTTATGTTTTATGTTGTTGCTTTTTTGTGTGTGTGTGTATATTCATTGTTTGCGGGGTTAAATTGTGTACATTTGTAATTTATTTGTGCTAAAACGAAGTTGTGGATTAAAGATAAAATGAACATGATGTTCAATGACTTTCCCTGTTGTGAAAACAGTTGATTATAGTTGATTTAATTGTGTAAGTCAAGTTGTTGTGTGGCATTTGTTTCTTTGTTTCCCCAGCTTATATTTTCATAACCCAGTGTCTACAAGCTCATAGTCAGTGTTCAGTGTTCAAGCCCTAAAACCAGGCTGTCCAGCCAAATTACAAACACAGCCACATATTCAGTGAACATCCTGTGGAGTTGGAAGGAAACTTCAGATGCAATCAGTAAATTTAGAATCTGCTGTTAGCACTTAAATGCAGCTCAGTGACACAGACAGTCCACATCTCTTTGTCCATATTAAAATCAAGACATCACTGCACTAAAGAAACTGCACTGTTTGAAGGCAGTAAAGTTTGAATTATTGTTGTTGTGGCCTGTTTAAGAATTTTTATTGTGAATGTATATTTGCATTTTTCCCCCCAATTTTTTAGGGCAGCTTAACTTCGTGGTTATAGTGTTGACAACTAGTGACACTTGAGCTTCTTTCTAACAAGCAAGTTTATATTTGTGAACGTGTTGTCCGAAGCTGTACTGTTATTGGAAATATACACGTATGAGATCAGATTTGTTCATTATGTTGCTCTGTGCTTTTAGGAATTGTGATATAACGTAGCAGCCGTCATAATCAGTGTCATGCCAAGAACAAGCTACTGTACTGCACTCCTGTTCCTCAGAGAGGGGCAGCAGTCGTGAGCTCGTATGGTCACGCTGCCTTATATTCCTCGTCATACACAATAAATGTGGTGGTTGACTGCATTGTTCCTCATCTTTTTTTAATAGCTTCGTTATTGGAGAATTAGTAAATACCTGTTTCTTTATCACAACCAACAAATAATACCAGTTTTATGTCCCTATTTGTTTATTTATGTGGACTTTTTTTGTTCTGGTAATTGGTGAAATATTACACAAGTTCTTCTACATGTAGGAATATCATTCAAACATCTGAATATTCAGCCTGACAGCAAATAAATACAAAACAATTACTGCTCATGAAGAACCCTCCTGGTTCCCTTCTTATTAACATAATCAGCTCTACTCACTGAGTGGAGAAAATGACTTTTACTCACCGACTACAAAAGTAGAAGGCAGATAAATACTGAGAATGGGATTGTTATTATCATCTAGACTTGTTTTTTCTGTCTTTAATATGCATTATGAACTGTACCTGTGCCTTTTTTCTTCGTCATTTCATTGATTGTTCTGTAATGTCCCAGACATCATCTGTTCTATGTTCATACAAAACAAAAAAAAACAAAAAAATAAAAGGATAAAATCTGATTTAATCAGTGGAAAAAAACTGTAAACTTCTCCTAAAAATATTTCTTCAACTTGCTCTCATTCCCACAATCTTTACTCTTTATACATATTTTTTTTTACTTCAAATGTATTAAAAATTGTGTTATTTCACACGTCATATGGAAACAAACAGATTTACACATTTCACGTTGTGAGCCTCCAAGTTACATGAGTGCCAAACAACTGTCGAACACACACAATGTTAACTGAAAGCAGAAACTTCAGGAGGGACCTTTGTAACCTGTTCTAATTCTCACATTTTTGACCTTGCAGACATATAAACTACATCAATGCATTAAGCAGACTCTCGTCTCTCACAATATCAAGATTTAGAAGGTATGGTCTCTGTGGTATAAGGAGTTTCATAAGAGTATTCAAGCAAAAATGGGCAGAATGGGTATTTCCTGAAGAAATGTGACAGCTAGAATCTGCTGCCAGATGCTGCCAGATGCTTTCAGTGCCACCTGTTAGTTTAAAATTGTATCAAATGCTACAAACTCATTCAGCATTCCCATCCATATATGTGGAATTTGGCAACCATGTCTTTAGATGGACAGGATTTGACACAGTTGACACACACATAAACACACTTTTTACACATAAACACACTTTTTAAATATAAACACACTTTTTAGCATTTTTCAAGTCTCATCTACTCTTTCATTTCAAACTCCATTCAGATCTTAAAATTCTCCTCCACTCAAAATGTTTTTGTTCCTCCATTTGGATGTTTGAGCTTCAGCAGAATGATGTGTGTGCAGAGTTTGACACTGCTGTACTTTTGAAGTATACAGATCTACAATCAGCTTGAAATGTAACTCTCCACCACAGAAAAAAGCTTAGTATTTCTTTCTTTGTGAAAACCGGTGCAACTGTGAACATCCAGTTAGATTCATTTATTAAATGCAAAACTGGCTCAATAGGTTAATTGGTTGATTTATGTTACTTTTTCTGTGGCGTTATTTCATGGGTAGTCTTATCTTATGTTCTGTAATCAACTTAAGAAAACACAAATAGACAAAACAAAGCCAGTTAAGAAAATATCTTAACTAATTTGATAAAACATGCAGCAAATATATAAAACACAACCAAATACAAAAATGTGAAAGTATCACAGAGGACATGCCAATGTCCCACCAAAAGAAAATATATTTTAGCTCAGTTTTCATGAAGCGTCAACCTCCATAGTTGGCAAATGAAGCCAACTTGACAGTAATATAAACTGCAGTGCCTCAAACGGCCACTTGAGGCTGGCTCCAGAAGTGAGTCAGTCTCCATAAGGCCCCAATATTACCGTAATTTCCAGACTATAAGCAGCTACTTTTTTCACACGCTTTGAACCCTGCGGCTTAAACAATGATGCGGCTAATCTGTAGATTTTTACGGGCTAACGGCCTCCAGAGGGCGCT